GTAAGTGGAAACATTTAGGCAGACAGGGGAGAGATTATTTCATACAAGGAAACAGGTTTATTTTGGTCAAGTGGAGAAGGCAAAACAAGACAGGCTTTAGGTGTGAGGCTTCAAAGTAAGAAACTCTAGTGGCAACTGTTTCTCCGGGCTGTCCCTTTGTATCCTTTATTGCCCTTCGCAATAACCTAGTCTAGCCAAGTATGGCCCAAAGGAAGACAAAACTGATTCTTCTTAGTGAAGGTGGGAAAATACACAGGAAGACAGAGTGGCTTCCATGAGGCGGGAAGAGCGGCCCCAAAGCCCCGATGACTGTTGGGGCATCCCGGCTACTGAGCCTGCAGGGATGGGGTAACTGGCCGCCCAGTACCTCACTGTTTGTGAGCCGATAGCCTTTAGACAGCGGCTAACTGTCATCTTGCTAGTGTTGCCAAGTCAAAGGCACACGGGGGGAGGATCTCTCCCAGTCAGCTCCTGAATGCTGTGATGGTCTTTGCCTCCTGTCTTCCCCCGGGGCTCAGGTTCCTACAGAGATGGTCAAGAAACCAGCTGACGGCTATAAAATGGAAATAAATACCGCCCCAAATACCTACCAAGATAACTTTCCCAGATTCCGTGTCCTATCTCTCAGAACCTTACAAGCCTTACAGACCCATAAAAATAGAGAATAGGAGCCTCAGATGTCTTATTTTACTAACAGCGTTTGCAAAATTGCTTTAAGGTTCCCTAGGACATTTAAAGTCGGATTTTGCTCTCATACACACGGTCCAAGTGAACCGGAAGCGTAATTATTTCCCCCATCTATGTAAATCACAGATGCAACGTAGTGCCCAGCCCAAGGGAGGCACAGCTCCGGCTCCTGCAGCGCCACCAGGCGTCGGCACAGACCTCACTCCTCAGCCTCCCGATCAGAGAAGGCGAACCGACACAACGTCCCCAAGACACGCAAGCCCTTTCGTAATTAAAGGACAAATGTACGGCCGGTTCGCCACTTCAGTATCTGCACAGCAAGTAATTACATCAACTGGGGCAGCCCCAGAAGATGGAGCAAAATCGTTACTTTGAGAAGACAGAATGCAAGATTATTTGCACAAATACAATTCTGGAGGTTGCAAGATGTTTCGGAACATCCGCAAGGACACAGTGCCGCCCGATTCGGCCGGAGCCCACTCCGCGGGACGGAGCGCGCGGCTGCCCGCTGAGGCCGGGGATCCCGCAGGCGGCACACGCGCAAGTCCAGGCGCGGCCACTAGGTGGCCGGCGCTCCACCCGGGGCCCCGCCCGGCCTCCGCGGCGACAGGAGGGTTGTTTAGGGTGAGTCCCGATCTCCATCCTGTTCGAAGGTATCAGCAGAGCTTTATTCTGTTTTAAATTATAAACCGACTCACTGGAAGGCGAAGACCTGCTCAAGCTACCCGGGGCTGGTCTCAGGTTCCGGAAGGGCTCTCCCGAGCCCTCTCCCACCGCCTGTGCCACGTCTCTGCGCCCTGTCGGCCACGAGGCACGACCACCGCCATCAGGAGCCGGAAAGGGCAGCAGCCATTAAATGACATTTGATACTTTTCTGCAAAACGACGACTAAAAAATCTTTTAAAAAGGGAAGGGGGAGGATGAGCAACGGTGAGCTAAGAGGAAAGCCCAGAAATTCAGCATAGATAACATAAACTAATGGGTAAAAAACCGAGGCTTTCCGCTGGATTGCCCCCAGGGCCACCAGTCAGCCACAGGAGAATTCCTTCCAATTCATTAGAACGCGCTCATCTCACTGTGCCTACTCGTAACACCTAATCTACTGAGGCTTTTCCAGAATGATTCAAAAACACTCTTAGCTAAAGGATTAAATGCCTAGAGTTGTGGTCATGAGAAAACGGGCATCTTTCCCCACACGAATGTCCCTGGGGTAACTTTCACCTGCCAGAGTCGGTGAGGATGGAGGCCGAGCTCAGGGAGGCTGCGCTCGCGGCTGCGAGGAAAAGCTGGGTGAACATCGCTAGGGCTGCGAAGAGAAAATTCCCAGCGAAAAAGGCACGTCCAGGTCTTGCTGACCAGCAAGCCGCCTCAAGAGGCCTTTGAAAAGCCTATGCTTGGCAGGCCAACCTGAATTTCCTGAAGCTTCTCGGGCGGGAGAAATCAAGTAATGATCGACAGTGACGCCTGCAAACCATACAGACCCAACGGACCCAAGCTCCAGGAACGCTCGGTTCTTCCCACACTCCAGAACACCAGACAAAAAAGTGGACCCAGTGTCAGTTAAATGCCCAAGGAGATGCCGCGGGGAACGGGAACGCGCTGGCCCTGGAGGGGCCCCCGCTTCCAGAGCTGCCAGAAACGAGCCCTGCAAAGAGAGGGCCAGGGCGGCCGCCTTGTCACTGCAGTTTTCTTACGAGAACCGCTAATCACTTCCTTATCATTTTTTGCGGAGGCGTAAATATTGAGATAATGTGTTTGGTTTCAGTTTCCACCAAACGCCAGTAACCCTAAGTTGGGTTTCCAGCCTGAACTGGGAGGGAACTGATTTATTTACCGCTGGTGTCAAAGTTGGAATATCATGGCCAGGAGGAAGGCCACACGCCGCAGCCCCCGCTACGAGCAGGCCGGGGGCGCCCCGCCGCCACGGCGCAGCGGAGGTGCAGGGCTGGCCCGCGGCGCGGCTGGGCGTCCACTCCCCCAGCGAGGTGGCCACGTGCGGCGGACACTTCCCTGAGGATGATTCACTGGCATTCGGTGCCGCCACCTCCAAGGCCCTGTCACGGCCTGGCGTCCGAGGCCAGCCTCCCCGTCGAGCCTCTTCCCGGGGCTGCGTTCTTTGGAAGAACAGCAGCCCCCCGGGACCGGAGGCAGACGAGGCTCTCGCGCAAACAACTGGCCCACGGCCGGAGGGGCCGAAAGGTGATTCAGCACCGCCGCCAGCGCCCCGGCCCGGGACCCGAGCGCGGGCCCCCGGCCCTCCCCCGAAGCCGCGCCAGCCCGGCCCCCGCCGGCGCCCGGCGCCCGGCATCCGGCCCTCCCGAGTCTTCCCGGGCCCTGCCTCGGCCCCCGGCCCCGCCGGCCCACGGCCCTCGCCGCCCCCCGGCCCTGCCAGCCCGCGGCCCTCGCCGCCGCGGCCCCCACCGAAGGTGCGGCGCTGCTTGAAGGTCTTCTCCGACGGCATGGCGCGCGGGGCTGGTCGGGCGGCGAGGCAGAGGGTCCTGGCTGCTCCGGGCGGCGGCGACTCCGGCTCCGGCGACAGCGACTTCCCTTGTGTCTCCTCGGTCCGCAGCCCCGTCAGGTGACCCGCGCGGCGCCCGGGGGCGGGGCTGAGGGCGGCCGTCGGCGCCGCCATGGCGGGCGTGGCGGAAGCAGGCTAGGCGCTTGCGCGCATGCGTGGGGGCTCGGGCGCGCGGTGCGTGGCCGCGGGTAAGTGGTGCGTGTGCTCGGGACGACGTGCGTGCGTGTCGCTTTCTGGAAATAAAGCGGGCCCGGAACGCGGCGGCCTTGGGGCTGCAGGCTGTCTCCCGGGGACCGTGCTCTGCGCGCCGCGCGCGGGGCCCCGTCCGCTCTGGAGCCTCCCTCCTACGCGGTCCCGGCCCGCAGCTGCCCGGCAGAGGTGTGCTCCGCTCTGGCCCGGGGGACGTCCGCCTCCCTGTCGGGCCAGCGCTTGGACCCGACGCTGCGGCCGTCGGGGACGCCGGGTGGCCCTGAAGGAGCGTCCCGGTCTCCCCAGGGCCGAGCCCCAACGCTCACACTAACCGGCTGTGCGACCTTGAGTAAGGTGCCATTTCTCTGAGTCTCAGGCCCATTCGTAAAAGAACAATCACCCTCCTGAACTCGTTTTCATGAACAGCAAATAGGGGCTGCAGGGTACAGCCCCCGCTGCACCGGGTCCCTACCCTGCAGTCAGGGCCCTATGGTCTGAGGAGCGTGTATCTATAAACAAGCCCTGGAATCTTCGGCTTTTTTTGCTCTTTATTAGCTAATACTTTGACTGATTACCATGTCTCCAGGCCTTCGAGTTTGCAAAAGTCGTTCCTATATGCTCGTTTGGTAAAGTACTTGGATTGCGCTAATATTACAAATATGCAAAACATACAGAAATCTATTTCTTAAAGTGGTTTTAATATAGCTGGGATTTCTTTCCTTATCGAGAAGCCAGTATTGTTGCAGATCCTTGTATAATTGTTCACCACCACCAGAACAATGTTGTTAATTGTAGCTCTTTATTTTGCCACCGTTTACAAAAGAAAACACCGCATTTGTGCATGTGTCACTCTGTTCCAGGTTTTTTCCCCCTCTATCACAGTTGTGTACCTTGAAGATCTTTGATAGTAAATAGTGAATAAAGAAGGGCACTTAAACGTCCCATCTGGTTTCCAGAGTTACAGTGGAAGGTTTTAAGCTCTGAGAGTTCTATCTTGGTTGTTTTGTATTAATTCTATGAAGACAGAAAAAAAAAATGCAGTCTGCTTATTATGTACCTGCTTCCTGCCAGATACAGAAATGATGGGGTTTGAGGTCTTAAAGGAGAGCATGGACTGTGTGTTGCTTTCTTCTCTGCGTTTTTTTAGTGTTACGTACTGACTGGTGAGGCTTTCTGGGCTTAATTGCCACTTTGTAAGAAATGGACTTTTCCTTCTCTTGCTGGACAACTGTTAACAAATGCAGGAAAAGGGAAAAAAAATCTATATCTGGCATATGGAGATGGGAGGAAGGGGCCAGAGCGTTTCATATTTTCCAGTCCCTTAGACATCCAGAGAGCTTCACCGTGTTACCCCAGGTTTTAGGTTCACCACCTTAGGAGGCAGCCTCAGTGGCTATGTAACCATGGGACAGGATCGCTCTGTGATTTTCAAGTGCTGAAGTCCATATTTATAGTGGCTGTTACAATTCTACCCCAGTCTGGAATTCCTACTTGAACCTAAAACCACACACCCATACGTTTCTCAGAAGACCGTCCAAGTGGGTTGGTGTATAAAGGTGTTTTATAAGCATAATCTCCATGGAAGCATATTCATACAAATACTATATAAATTACATGTAAAATTTATTAATTTATATTCATATGCAAATAAAAATCAATCAAGTTCATGTAACTTTTGAAAACAAGCGTGTGTTTGGGTGTATGAAAAATTCCATATGCCCCCACAATATTCAGTGGTCAATCAGTATTTCAGTTATTGCATTATTTTAAGCCAGTTAATGTAAGCATTGTATGATTTATTTTTAAGTGAATAACAAACATCTGTTCTTGAAATAGTCCATATGAAGTAGAAAAGCAAGAACACATCTTTAAATTTATTCAATGTTTTCCCGTGGAATCTCATGGTGCTTTTAAACTATCGAACAAACATTCTAGAAAGCCAAGCAGTGTCAGTTAGATAACTCCCACCCTGCTCGTTTTTTTCATGACATGACGTAATTGCCGGGGAAATAGTGTAACCGCTGAAAATAGAACACCGCGTCCCAGCACTATGATGTAACATGGCTGGAAATGATGCTGTCGCTCTTTCTAAGCCCCGTCCAAGCAGGCGTGAGGCGTTAACCTGCAGCACAGAACGCCGCGGAGTGTTTTTTGCCACACTCAACATGGAAGGCAAGTCACGCGGAGAACTTGCCCAGCCCCTGCGGCCTGCCCGGCCAGTCCCGCCTCTCTCCTTTCTGGTTGGGAGACACCGGCCACCCTCCAGGCTGTCTGAGCAGCCATTGGCTGGGAGCCCATCAGTCCCGTGTCATCGCCTTGCTGTTTAGAACAAGTAAACAAACAAGTATTGCTCAACAGGAGCCCCGAGCTATTTTCAGAAAGGACTCGGTCGGGAGGATTTTGGAGTTGACGCTCCGTAGGTCGCCGTCTTAGGAGTCTCCCTGGGTGCTCCGAGGTGCTGTGGGAGCCGAGGCATCCTCCCCCAGGGAGGCTCTCCCGGGTGGGCAACTCAGAAATCGCAAACTCGCTCGGGCAGCAAAGCCGTCGTGAATCACCCGGGTGCTCCCATCATTTCAGAGAATACCTGATGGACTGGCTGACTTCCACTGGTTTTTTTTTCTGTTCGCTTGTTTAATTAAACAAATTCTGAAGGATTGCTGCTCGCCCTGCCTCTGCCCTTATATGGGACCGTCTAGGGCTGCGACAGCTGAAACGCGGCTGGGCCTCTTCTTTTGAACTGTGAGCCTCTTGTTCAGCTTTTGAGTGTCTCCCTTCCTTCCGTTCACCTTAACTGTTTCCTCTGAGCAGGGCGTAAGATGCCATTTTTGGCATCCAGATTCTGAGAACTGGTATGGGTAGTAAATACAGTTTCCTTAAGTCCAAGAAACACAGCTTCCCGTGACCTTTCAGGTGACCTACTGAAAAATGCGCCATCCTGTACTGTACTGATTTCCTTAGATGCGGTTCCTTTTCACCAACAAAGAGCTCATTACTGTGGCCTCATCAGAATGTTAGAACAAACCATCCATTTTTCCTTCTTTTAGTATGAATGCTTCCTCCTTAGTGTTCTTTGTAAAAGAGACAGTTCTGTAGAAGGGATGGTAGAGGTGTTGTTCAAGGGCAAATAAAGCTCTCAGGGTTCAGTGAATGATGGTTGCCAGCTGCACACTGTCTTTCCCCCTGGGTCCCCCCTCCCCTGCAGATGGGTCACTCCTTAGCCATCCCTGTCTTTCTGTTCCTGTCAGCACTAATTCAGTCCCTCAACACCGTGGGGTGGGACAGTGTCTGGGGGGGACAACGCCTTCTGGTATTCCTGCTCTCGAGGACACACAGATGTGTCTTCTTAATGCACAGTTGCATAATTCAAATTATCTAAATGTAGAGTAGTTTAACCATTCTTCTAAAGTTAGAGATTTAACCAGATTATTTTGCACCTTAAAAAAACTCTAAACTCCTGAAGGAGAGAGTTGTATCTTATTAATAGGACCTAGTAGGGGGGTAGATCAAGTAAAAAAAAAAACTGAAATAGAACAGTGGCAAGGATTATGCTTTAAAATCTCTGGAGCCACGCAGAACAGCACAGACTAGTCAGGCATTATGTCGATATTCATTACATTGCTTGATTCACATGTGCCTGCCGAGGTACTAGCTTAGGTCATGATGTGATAATCCATCGTCCTCTCTCCATCTGTTGCATAACTGCTCTTCAATTTTTAGCCTTTTAGCCACTTTGTTTATTCTTTTTTTAGTTCAACAAACATTTATTCAGTGGACATTCATTGATAGATGATGTATGTTTGCAGATTTGTCATGTGGCAGGGTAGGTATCTAGTAAGGCTTGTACAGAAAGAAGCCAGTATTTGTAACAGAACAAAATGGTGGGGCTGTAATAAGGGGTCATCCTTCCTAGAAGGGGAAGCCCTTTGAGGATAAGGAGGATGGGGATGGGGTGTTTGATGGCACAGACTGGGGAGATGGGTTTCCTGGCAGAGGAGACAGTTGAGCAAAGATGAGAGATGTGAGGCGTGGGAGTTCCGGAGCGTCAGGCGACTCCCTTGAGAGATGGGTGTGGGGACCTGAGACTAAGCCTGGCTGGGAGGTTAGGACCAGATTGTGGGGTACATGACAGAAGAAGTCAATGGGGCCGTTAAATACATTTAAATAGATGAGTGACACAGTGAGTCTGCTTTGTTCATGCGTTGCTATAGAAGGAAGAGAGTTTTGGGAACAGTGTGGAGGATCGGGTGGGAGTGGGAGGTCACTTGGATGTTGTTTTCCAACGGCGTGGACTCGCGATGGTCAAGATTTGAACTAAGACGTGTTGTATTGTTAAGTTTGTCAGAAGACGCACTTCCCTGTTTATCGGATTCCATCTACCAGGGTAGGCAGCCCTATTTGCTGCTTCCAGACCTCCATATGGAGGTGGTGGTGAATAGTCATGAATTTATGGAGGCTGGGATCAGGGAACTGGCAGGCCACTCATTTTCTCTTTGATCAGTCAGACCCCCCCCCCCTAGGGTATGTGTGTGGGTTCTTAGTTTCCGTTTAGGCCCCGGGCAACTAACTCCTCCAGCACTGAGGGTGTGAGGTGAGTGCTGACCACAGCGGGAGTCAGGCAGCCTTCTAGTGAACCGTTCCTGTAGCCACCTCCCCGCCCCTGGGCCTCCTTTCTGGAAACAACCCAAAGCAGCAGTTTCTGGTTATCATGACCTGTTGAAGGTCAGGAGGTGGTGTTACTTACTCCTGCCAGGTGTGCGAGGCCCTCTAGAGCACGTGTGCCCTGGAGCACTGCAAACGGTAGCCGGAAACACCAGCCAGATCCCCAGGGTGGCACAGGGCTGGTGGTCTGGCTGGGCAGCCAGCTGGTCTCCCTCTCCTCCTCACTGCAGTAAGGGTAGAAATGAGAGATATGCATTCTTAGATAAAAGACGGCTGATGGGCACCATTCGGGGTTCTATACGACTTATTTCGCTCCACTGGCCACCCAATCAGCCTTCTGTGCCCAGAGGTCCTGGGGTCCATCCTGGGGGATTTTGGGGACACTAGTGAGGGTGGCCTACGTGGGTGAGTAGCAGAGGGGGATGGATCCCCCGGGGTGTCCTGGGGGGTCTGTCGGGGTGGGGACCTGGGGGATCCTCCGGGGCGTCCTCGGGGGGGACCGTCAGGGTGGGGATCTGGGGGATCCTCCGGGGCGTCCTGGGGGGATCTGGGGGATCCTCCGGGGTGTCCTAGGGAGTCCTCTGGGGCCTGCCGGGAGCTCCCAGGAGAGTCCTCAGGCGACTGTCATGCCCAGAAGCGTCCCACGGGGGGCCCCTAGCGCAGTGGGGAGAGCGTCAGCCCGCGCTCTGCAGGTGGGGGGCTGGGTCCTCACGTGCACGTCCCGGGTCGGGAGGGGGCGGCCTTCGCGCGTTTGTGGGTGACATTCTTTTACCGTGCTCCGTCCGGGCGCTGGACGGGGCCCTCAGGCCTCAAGTGGGCTGAGGCCGGGGGCGCGCGGGGCCGCGGGCCGCGGGGAGAGGGTCCCGCTGACCCCTCCGCGGGAAAAGGGGGCCGGGGCTCCTCAGGGCCGGAGCCTCTGCTGGTCCCTCCTGGTGGGCGGGGCTGAGCCCGGGCGGGCGGTGTCGGGGCGGGGCCCGGGGCGGGGCTGCGCGTGCGCACGGCGGCGGCGGCGGCAGCGCGGGCCGTCACTCGGGCCGGCATGGCGGTCTGCGCTCGGCTCTGCGGGGTGGGCCCGTCGCGGGGATGCCGGCGCCGCCAGCAGCGCCAGGGCCCGGCCGAGACCGCGGCGGCCGACAGCGAGCCGGACACCGACCCCGAGGAGGAGCGCATCGAGGCGGGCGCGGCGGCGCTGTCCGGGGCTGGCGTCGGCCGGAGCGCGGGCCCCTCGCCGCCCCCGCGCTGCTCGCTGCTGGAGCTGCCGCCCGAGCTGCTGGTGGAGATCTTCGCCTCGCTGCCCGGCACCGACCTGCCCAGCCTGGCCCAGGTCTGCACCAAGTTCCGGCACATTCTGCACACCGACACCATCTGGAGACGGCGCTGCCGGGAGGGTGAGTGCGCCGCGGGGACCCGGGCGGCGCTCGCGGGCCCCGACCTGCAGCGGCTCGGGGCTGGGTTCCCGCGGGCCCCGGACGCGTCCCGCGCTGGTCTGGGGCCCGGGAGGGGGTGTCCCGGCCGTCGCGGGGGTCCCTCTTCCAAGACGGGACCTGCCGCAGGTCAAGGCCCTCGGGGGGTCCCGGCCGTCGCGGGGCAGTGACTCCGGGGGGCCCTGCTGCAGACCTGGGGCGCGGGGTCGGGCGAAGTGGAGTTGCGGGTGGGGAGCGGAGCCGGGCCCTGCCCGCACTGCGGGGCTCAGGGCGGGTTGGAGGCCCCCAGCTGCGGGGACCGGCCGCCGCGGAGCCGCGGGGAGTGAGGGCGGCCGGGGCTGGGCTCGGGCCGGGGAGCGGCTGACGTCTGCCCCTTGGGGGCGGGGCTGAGCAGAGGGTTGAGGGTGAACTTGAGCCGTCAGGGGAGTGTTTGAGTGTCCCCGAGGGCGAGGGCGAGGACGGGGCCGTGCAGGGGCGGTGCAGCTCCCTCGGCGCGGTTTGTGGTTTGTAGCAAATACCAGGAGGAAAGGTTCATTTAATCCAGAGCTCCAGGCTCTCTGCGTTTCAACGTCGACGCATCACTTATGTTCAATAATCTCTCATATTTTGGTTAAAAGGACAGCAGAACCCAAAAGGAAGAAGTGAAATCCATCAGAGACCATTGCAGTGAAAGACAGGCCCCTCTTTAAATTTTGGAAAACGTCTTTCTCCATGTACACTTGTAGAGTCCTGTACACACTTTTTACTTAAATAGAATCATGTCGTATTCTCTTAGAGACAGTTTAATATTAAAAAAGCTTCATAATATTGCACTGCATACATATACCATAGACCCTTGCTGATAGACATTGAAATTTGCAGTTTTTCCTTGTCATAAGCAGCGCTATCAAGACTGCCTTTGTGCATTTTACAGAAATTTTTAAGACTTACATTTACCTTTTAGAACTTCTCAGATTATCTTCTTAGCGTGCACTTCCCAGAGTGGGGGCATAGGTCATAGGGTGTGCACATTGATGGCACCTTTGATACCCATCGCCCAGCTGTGGGCAGTTTGCCCCCAGGAAGGCTGCAAGGGAGGGCCTTTTCTCCCAAATCCTCCCCACAGGGGGATCGGCCATTCATCTGACATCTACAGCCACGCTCCGTGGTCGAGACCTGCGGCCTGTAGTTGGCAGGCCAGGTTCCGTTGGAGACCCTGGCCGTGCTGCCTCACCTTCCCAAGTGTTAGTGGGGAGAGCTGTTGCCATAGGGCCGCCTTGAGGGGCCGGTGAAGCCCTCACCCTTAAGTGTAGCTGATTGATTGGGATGCTTCTTGGCCATTTGTATTCACCTTTTGTGAATTCCCTATATGTTTTCTTTTGTCTCTTATGGAGTCTTTTTCTCACAAATTTGTGTGAGCTCTCTGAATACTAGCAATATTAACCTTTAGTCATCTATGTGTCCCGTGAGTTTCTTTTGACATTTTAACACAGAGGCACAGAAAGTTCCACTTTCTCCAGACCCTACGTCTTCATTAGCTTTGTTTTGCATTTTGTGCTCCTGAGAGACCCAGATGTTCCTCATGCTTGGAGGGGTTTCTCCATCAGTCAGCCAGACCTATGTGGTGGTCTCTGGGTGGGTGCAGGGCTGTCTCTGGGGAACCGTAGGGTACGTAGCTCACTCCAGGAAAAGAGGGTAACAGACTTGTGTCATCAGGAAAACTCAGGTGTGCCACAGAGTAAAATTAACTGGAGGTGCAGCGCAGGGTAAATTCTTAGAATTGCTAAGGAAATACGAGAAGTGCTGAAGAAGCTGTAGAAAGAAATTGGGGGACAGACATGGGGTCCTTCAGCCCTTCCCTTCCAGGCATCTTGTTCACGGAGGTGGTCCTACCTGCTAGGGCAATGTTCATTTTGAGAAATTTTAAAAAAATGAACCAAAAAATGATCCCACAGCCGTATTCCTCATCACCCCCAGAATACAGCTGTTCAGGCTTTCGTCTTATTTGCTTTGATCTCTGCCTTTTCCTAAGAAAGAAGCTAATGCTCACGTCCCTTCTGATGACCGCTGTCCTTCCTGCTCCAGGAAGCAGCCACTGCTGAGGGTTCAGGTTACTTGTATATGCACACACCTGTGTTCCCCCCAACACGTAACATTGTTCTGTGGTGGTCTGATGTTAAGAAAGAGATCGTACTGGGAGTGTTGTGCCCTCTGCTTTTCCCGCCAACTTGGGTGTTTTCTGCTCTGTCCGTGTTAAGACCTTTCAGTCTGCTGCAGTCTCATCTTAAATGCTGTGTGGTGGTTCATAATTTGAAGAGGCCACACTTCATTCCTTTGCTCGCTTTTACTTTTTTCACAGTGTGACAGTGAAGAAAAAATCTCATATAGGTTTCCCTGGATGTAGATGAGTTTGCCAATTTCTCTAAGGAATGTACCAGAAGAGGTGTGGCTGGGGCAGTGGGCTGTGAGATCTGCAGTTTTGCTAGCTACTGCCCTGTCTTTCCCGGGAGTGGTCGTACCTGTTACCACCCCGTCACTAGGGCACAGATAGGCAAGTCACGAAAGGTGGAACACAAATGCACGGCACAGATCGTCATGAGGGAGTTGCAGTTTGGGGTCCAGGTCCTTTATCTCATTGAGTCCCGTGTCTGCTAAGTTCCATCTTTTTAAAAATCTGGGCCAGTCTGGGTGAGCAACAGACTCGTACTTTAATTTGCATATGCCTGGTAACCAGTGAGGTCGCTTGTTTGAAAAACATGGTTGTCGGCAGTTTAGATTTCCCTCATTTGCGTATCCTTATCCTTTGTCCTTTTTATCTCTGGTGCTAGTTTTTCTTATTGAAATGTGGGTTTCATTTATTTAATCTGTTTAATATATTACAAAACATTTTCTCAGAGTCTACAGTCATTTGCTTTCCCCTATAGTGACTTTTGGAAAAGTTAAAAGTTACAACATTAGTCAAGGTTACAGGTTGTCATCCCCAGGTTATGAAGATGGTAGGCATCCAAGTCTTTACTTTCACTGGCTCATTCTAGTAGTTTTGATTTCCAGCTCCTCTAGGTGCAAAATTGGGTGGTCGGCAATCCCACGGGTGTTCACGGGTGTCTCATAGTGTGAGTCTAATTGTGATTGGCATCTATATATAAGAATTATCATGTATGAGACAAGTCTGATCTTATTTTTCTGACCCCCTGACTTCATCTTTCCTGAACCAGACCTTTGGTTAGGGTGCGTGTTAATAATAAGGCCAGAGCCAAGTTCATGTAAGTTGGCAAGCGGGAGGTGCGATGCCAGGCTAGACGAGAAGGTAGGTAGGTGGTCCTGACCCAGAATGAAGCTGCCAGGCCCTGCCCAGACAGCAGTGTCAAGGTGGCTCCGTTCCTTAGAGTCTTGGGAGGGTGAGTGAGACTAATTGGTGACTTTTTATGTTTATTACTCAGTGTTTACATTCGCTTTCTGTATTTTGGTCATCGGGTTTCCCAGAACAGAGGACAAGCCACAAAGAGGAAGTGGGAAGGCGGGGGCTGCCCACCCCTGTTTAGTTGCTGCAGAGAATGCTGGGCCATGGTGGCTTTTCTGGGCGTGGACAAGGCACGTGTATTTAAGAGGACTTCCTATAGTGCTAGGCTGATCCTGTTTCCTGGGGAGCTCACGGCTTCCAGCATCCCAGCAGTAAGAAGTCAGCTCCTTTGATAGCACTGCGGCCGTCTGAGCCCCTGCATGTCGGAGGGCTTAGACTAAGTATTTCCTAGTGGTATTCCTTCAGGCAGGCGGAAGAAAGGTGCTTCGAGGAGCCGAACCTGCGCTCCTGATCTGTGGGGCAAGCCTGTAACAGGCGGCGGCGCTCCCCTCTTGTGGGGGAGAGCAAAGCAAACCAAGCCCGTCTGCAGGCGGTGCAGCAGGGTGGGGTGAGCGCTTTTTGATGCGTCACTCCCTGGGCTACAGGCGGCCTCCTGCCTGGACGTGGGGCTATAAATAAGCCCTCGTTTCCCAGAGTACTCAGGGTGGCAGCCAAGTCAGTCAGCTTGCCTTTGACCCTGACAGGGCTTTTCCTCGTTAATACTCCACCATTTTGCCCGTGGAGTTTGAAATGCTAGCCAAGTTTAACACTGTTCGTGTACGCAATCCTTCCGGTAATGAGTTGAGAAAATTCAGATCATAGTTCTGGATGAGAATACTCACATAATGACGAAAGAGAATTGTAAAAACAAAAGAAATGCTCATATGTGTATTGTTTTCTCCCCACTGAACTTGAAATATTGAGACACAACGATTTCATGTTATTCAGCTCAGAACCTGCCAGTGTCAGGTTTTGGAGTTACGATATTTAATTTGCCCTGTTCTTCCCTTGATGGTAAGTGTTTTGACCACATGGAATGATATTTGTATAATATTTTGATTGGTTATAAGTGTAAAATGAGTCTAAATTCCATCGTAATCTCCTTTTCTAACAATGTATATCTGTTTTTGCATGCAGAAGAAAATGCTGTTTCTGTTCTGTCTGATACATGGTGTGAATATGAGAAATGTGGCTTTTGTTAAATATGGTTGAAATTGGAAGGGTCATCTTGGGAAGAGGTGAAATGGGCAAGTGGTTGGTTTTGCTGGCTTTAGGAACATTTCATGATTCCCGTTCATGGGCGCTTATGGAGGCCACTGGTCTTGGTGGTGAGTGGGCAGGTCAGCAGTTGGATAAACAAACTGCCCAGGTAACAGAAACACACGTTTCTCAACCATGGGAAGAAGAGGCCAGACTCCTAGACATTCAGCAGGATCTCAAAATTATAGAGAAAACCTTTATTCTTTCTTTCTGCTTTGCTCATTGGAAGGACTTATAGTTGTATTTTTGCAAATTTAATCTGCTTTATAGAGAAACCTCATACTTTCAATGAGCAAAGTAGAAAAGAAAAAAGGAGCATGGGGCCTTGTGGAGAATATTTTTAAGACTTCCTTTTTTTTTTTAACCATAAGAAAATGAGCTAGAA